GAGAGAGAGAGAGAGAAATAAAATATTATGTGCAGTATTCAAACAAGGTTTTTTTTTTCTTGGAGAGAAAGGTGTTTCTATTTTGTAAACAAGGTCCTCTGGTGGTCTGCTGAATGCCTGGTTTGCAATTTAAAGCAAATGAATGGAAAAAGTGAATTTTTAATTGAATTCAAACTGAGCAACATTGAGAATTAGCATTTGTAAAGACCACTAGCCTGAAAAAAGGAGCCACAAACCCCTGAAAGAAATGAATTATGTATAAAAGGTTGTTCCTGCATTCACAGTGTTCTGCGACCATTACCTGGGAGAGCTCTTGATTGACATGTTCCACTCCAAATCTCTGAGAAGGAGATTTCTCTGACCTTGCTGTATGGGCAACAACCAGCACTATTCACTGAAAATGCTTTTAATAATCTTGTATCTCTGCATCTGTTTTCTAGCCAAGCTGAGCAGCCAGGATTCGTACAACAACTTCACCAATAACAACATGGGGAACCCGCGGCTGTCCCCGCTGCCCAGCCTCACCGTGGTGCTGCCCTTGGCTCAGATCAAACAGCCCATGACCCTGGGCACCATCACCAAACGCACCGGGTAGGTGACACACACACACACACCTACACACACACACACATACACACCACAGGAACTCCAGTTTATGAAGCACATGTGTAACACAGCTACAATATAAACAAACACATCACAGAATCCATTACTTAGTAGGTTGTGTCACACTGATGGTTTTCTTTATTATGTTCCTTTAGTCACTAATCAGATGTGTTAGGTCAGGGGTTCCCAAACGTCTTCATGCCAAGGCCCCTCTTACAGCATTATCTTATGGCCCGTGCCACTCTTTTGCAACACGTCTGTAAAAACGCATTGACCACACCGTATACAATACGATTTTGATATGTTATATATTCTCATAAATCACGTATAATACTACACATAATAATATGGTAATAATTGGATTCTTTTTTTTCAATTATATTTTAGCATTTTCCATCATCTTCCCTAAAATTTTCTGAGACCCCATTAGCGGCCCCCACTTTGAAAAACACTGTTAGATAAACGCTTTAAAACCCACTAGAGCTAAGGATACTTTTAAATGTTTATTAATGTGTTACAAATAAAGTAAAAGTGTTTTAATTCATATATATAATTAATTGACACTATATATGTTATATTCATTTCAAATGTTGACATTTTCTATGTTATATATGTTATCATTCATTAACTTTTAATATAGCAGTTACAGATACTTCACAGCAGGAGTTGTTGACAAACAAACTAATAAACACCTTTAATGTCCTCATATCTGCTTAAAACTAGATCATATTTTGTTATAAGTGGTTAAAAACATTTATTAACTCTTTATAAACAGCTTACAAATGGGGTTAAATAGTGTTTCTTTATTTTTGTTATTTTGTTAAAAATACTGAAGAGACGTCATCAAAAATATGAATCAATAAATCTGTAATTCCTCAGACCTGCTGCCTTTGGACTCAGTGCTTTACCATCCACTTTTCCACCTGCAGGATGTTAGTCAGAACTATGACTGCCAGTACTTTGAAAAGCTACATGAATATTAAATATTGATATATATTGATAAATTAGACTCATATTTTCATGTCATTATGGTAGTTTTCAAGAAGAACTCCCCAGTGTAAAAAAATAAGAATGCAGGTGCAATACACCACAGAGTACTAAAAATGAGAAACAAATAATTCTCCAGAGTGGGTGAGTGTAAAGGGGTTATTGGCCGCCTCACAAACTCTACTAGATTTACAGTTTGGCCACTGTCGAGGAAAATTTAAATCACACTGTATTCCATCTTCCATCAGTCAGTAATTTGCTATCTTTTTCCATTAATCACATTGTAAAAACAGTGTATTGTGTCAACAGTGGCCTTGTGTAGGCCAAAGCTTTTCCCTCTCACACATCCATCTGATGCTCATGGACTTCTTTTGTCTCAGTCCACCACTTTTTTGCATAGGGCAATGAAGCACAGCACACATGCGAACTTGTTCTGTGGGCTGTTTGGAAAGTGGATAAAACACATCACGCACACTAAGAATAGAAATAAAACCACTCAGATAATTAAAAATCACATTCAATGCAGTGTGACCCTGCCCGCTTGAGTATTGAAAGTTGAGTTTTAAAAGTAAGACAGCTCTGCTCTCATACACCTCTGTCCTCGGCCTCTCTTTTTTTTTCACTTGGATCTTCGCCATGCATTGAAATCATGTAGTTTTAAGACCATCAACAACTACAGGCCTTTGCTAAGTGCATTTACATACAGTACAGGTGGCTCCATAAATATGGGCAGATTTTAATATTTTCATTTAAATGTAATTTTCATGCCCTGTTTGAATGGGAAATGCTATAATGATTGAAGCAGACGGCGAGGGATTTATTTCCCCGTGATATTTGATAAGTGAGCTTTGAAGATGAAAATAGAGACCTGATCCTGCGGTCAATGTAAACAACATCAGGCCATTTTCCAAATCATTAAGATGACATACAAAGTTCATTTGGTTTGTAAAATATATTAGTGCTTATGGGCCACTGTGGTGTCCTGCTTGGGTGTATTTATTATGATGTCCTGGTGCTGTTGGTTTGCATTCAGTTAGTAATATTTAACGTCATACAGTGTGGGCTTCAGAATGTGTCTGATTGGTTTATTGATATAATTTGCTATTTTTTCATTCGTTTATTTTTTTTGTAATCTTTGATAATATGATTCTTTTTTTTCCAGCTGGGATGTTTTTTTTATTTGTATCATGTCTCTATTTTTGCTTCAGTGTTTTTTATTGTCTCAATCATATACTAAACTCTCATTACTTTTTTAATTGTGTGTGTGATTATATATGTTTTTCTTACGTGTGTATTTTAAAGTTTAATCACTCACTACTGCAAATGTTTTTGTTTTTCTTTGGCAGTAAGTTGTTAAGTCTCATTACGCCAGTTTATATATTTGCCTCCATCTTAGTTTTTAACCGGTAATCAGTAGTTTAATTTATGTATTTATTCATTCTTTTGAGTGCCTTTTTTCGCAGTGTTGCACTTCCAAGATTTTCCTTGTCAGTCATGTAGTCTACTGCCAATATGATACACATGTTTTGATACTAAAACAATCAATTTTTCAATAGTGTAATTTTTAAAAGCTAAATACTAACTTTGTGCCCTAAATACAATGCATTAGAAATTGGCAGAACTAAATCAGGAACTGCCTGATCAAACATTAAGAATCTGCTGACCAGACATTTGATGCTGGCTTTTATTACACTCAGGATGGGATGATATACGATATCACCATGTAGCACTCAGATACATTTATTGTAGTGAATTTCAATACTTTCTTACAGACACTTTTCAGTCATACCAAAAAGGTGTTTAGGTTTTATAGCCTTAGGAACAAAGTCAAATAAGATTCTCTGCAATATAGGTATAGTTAGTGATATGGGTGATATCTTTTTCTTTTTGTGTTCAGCTGTGTTGGGTGATGGGTTGCTGATCCTGCTAAATATCCACTAATCCTGCGGAGATTCAGAACAAAACAGAAATCTAAAAAAATATAAGCGTTTCTCAGATGAATTTTTCCTCAAAATGACCCAAAGCCATTATTCCCTGTTGAAGATGTAAAAGTTTACAAATACAGAGGTTTTTCTTATATTTTGTATCAGTGAGGGCAGACTGAACATTATAAACACCTCCTCTGATAACACCTTAACACAAACAACTGCCTGAGCCAAAGTGACCACAAAGGAAAATAATGAATAAAACAAGAACTGAACATTGCACAGCATTTATCATGAAGTGAGGACTTATTGCAGTGTAGACATTAAATGAGTTTTACCCAGACATACCTTATAAAATGGCAACTGAGTATAGTTTCACTTAAAAAAAGTGAAATATTTTCCTAAAACAGCTGGGCACTGTGGATTTAAGGATATCCTCAACTCATAATTTGATACAGTTTACGATTTCCTCGTTATTTTTTTAACAAAATGAGGTTGAAGACCAATTCTGACTGAAAAAGATTCCTTTATTTCTCAGACAAAAAACTACTAAATACATTTTCTTTTTTCTAATTCTAGAATCATTTTTTGATTTCTGAGGTAAGATATAAAAAGCAATGCAAATTGACTTTCCAACAGTGACTGATGCTAGTGACATAGGACGTTGAACATGCGAAGTCAGAAGTAGTTAGCGCCCTCTGCTGTTTAAAAACAGCATCACGACTCATTTTTCAAATACTTGTATTGCGATTTCACTGTCTTTCGATATATATCATTAGATTCCTACTGGGAACTGTAGTTCCGTGTTAGTTCATGTTAGTGAAGGAACCAGTGCAACAGTGTGGTTCCTTGATGTGTTTTTAGTAGCTTTTGGACAACAATGGAGCTCTATGGCACAGACAGTACACGTTACTAGGATACAGTCGTTGGTTTGGGTCTTTTCTTGGGATTTGTTGAGAATATGTACAATAAAGAATACAGCAAACTTTATCCTTATCCTTTAATTCTACAAATATTCCACATTTTTTACCCACTATAGGTGCTCATGAGACACCTCAAACAGCTGTATTGGCTCTTTAGGACATTATCAGACCTGCTGGGCTGCCTCAGTACTCCTTCACCCGTCTGTCCAGTCCAGAGGAGGCGTCAGTATTAATGCATCAGGACATGCAGCTGTGCGGCCTGCTCCTGCATGCACACGGCTGCACCAATTCACCAAAAACACACACACACACACACACACGCACACATTGAGTGAAGCAGCAGGTTTGGCCCCTAGAGTGGGGGGTGATATCATATGCTTTCACGCTATACTTGCACAGGAGTGCCCAGGCACCATCTGTCTGTCTGTGCAGCCAGCCCTCTCTCTCTCTCTCTTTTTTTTATGTGTGAGTGGGGATGTGTTTGAGTGTGTGTGTGTGTGTGTGTGTGTGTGTCATAGAGAGAGAGAGAGAAGCGTCCGGCAGCTGTATTTACACCTGTATGAGCAGATCCCTGTTGGCAGGGCGGCAGAGGAACACACCAGCTGCTTAACCTACATTCCCTACCAGGCTGTCTTTGTGTGCACTGTGCCGTGACACACACACACAACAGCACATGCAGATAGACACGTTGATGAAGCTTTTACCCCCTTTGTGGGACCAGAACTGTAGGGATACCTTTACAGACCCTGGCACGCCTACAGACCACCAATGTGCAAAATGCCGCTGTTTGTCCTCTAAAATTCTTAACATCAAAGAAAACTTCAACAAGTTCATGCAGAGCCCCCTCCTCTCTTAATTTAGATTTTTGGTGTTTTCTCCCCATCGAAGCGGGGGAGATGGAGTCGGATGTGGCTCAGCATCCGCCCGATAACCCCCAACGCGCACACACCAGACAAGGCCAGGTCAGGGAGTGGAGGAGCACAGCCAAGCTTCTGCTAGTCCTCAAAGTCTCCTGGGAGTCCCGAACAAGGAGAGGAGTGTCGGCTCTGACCCGGCCTCTTGTTTCCTGTCGGCCAAATTTGGCAGAAGGTTGGCCCCAGATGAATTAAATCCCAAGGAATAAAAAGACAGTGGTCGCAAAATCAAAAGA